AAATAAATAAATAAAATATTGATATAATGATAAGAACAATTTATAAAATATTACTATTCTAATCTGTTACAGTTGAAATATTTTATTTTTCTGATCAATAATTATAAAAGAGTAAGATGAATTATCTTTACCAAACTGGTTGTTTATAACGATTATCATATTCTGATCTTTTTAAATAATACTTTACTTTTCTTTAAAAATCCATTGTATTGCCAATCTCCAGCATTCTGAAATTCTAAATGTTGGTTACAATTCTTGTGATTTTTAGAAAATGTACTAATGTAAACATACCTATGGTTTGAAACTAGAAAAGTTGGATTTTGGCCATAAACTAAAACACAATAAAATATTTACCTGTACAAATGATTAATGTATGGGTTGACCCCCAAGGAATTCATCCAGTTCCGAAATGTTCTCTCCTCCTTGCTCTCTCCTAGAGTAGACACAAGTTCATACTGATGATTCAGGACAAAAGGCATCAAGAAATATGTTTTAAACCATCCTGGCAGGTGCAAACCAGCCATACATACTTTGCTGTGGTTTCTGCGATACTACAATCTTTTGGGGAAAAGTAAGTCTTACTGTCAAAGTCCCTTCCCGCCCCCTCCACCCCTCTGTCTAGAAGGCCTCCATTTGCTCTAAATTTCTCTCTCTAGAGTCCTTTCTTTGATGTCTGTGAACTACTGAGTCATAGGTTTCTCTGTCCAGAAAGTGACAAAGAAACTTATATGGTCATATCTGTAGTTATGATTACATGCAAAAGGGACTGGCTAAAAATTAATGAAACAAAATCTTTTAGCAGTCAGGGTAACATTAGCACAGTAAACACAAAAGAAAAGCTGTGCTTTTCCCAATGCAGTGTTTCTAAATTTGTACAGATTTTGGTTTTACACAGGGAAGTTTCTGGGCACACAAACTTACATTTTAATTACACCAAACAGCAATGAAGGGGAGAGGGGGATTACAGGTAATATAAAAATAAGCAATGAAGGGACAGAACTATTTTACAGGCTTCCTGAGTTATTTTAGGTTGTCACTACTGAAAATACATGAGGGACACAGCCTCCACACAGGGTGCTAAGAGAAAGACATCTTATCCTAGTCAGTCCCTAGACCTCAGAGATCACCTCAGTAAGAAACTCCTTGCAGGCACTTTTAACCTGTGATTACCTAGCCTCCCTAAGCATTCCCTTCATAGCATCTATAAGAAAACATGGGCTATCATGTACCACAAAGTAGGCAGAGAGCGAGAGGGACTCTCCTTGCCATGTCTGCTTCTAGTCATCTCCCAGACTGCAAATAATCCTAAGTGACTATCTGTAGTATTATTTGTTTTCAGCAAAGGTAGGGGGCAATGGAATGTCCTAACCTACATCTCATCACCAGACTCGTGAAAAACTGAAACATTTACGCCTCTCATCACTTCTAAACTGCAGGCAAGTTCAGGTCACTCTCTAGACTTTGACTCATGTGGGATTCCCAGAACAATGAATCATCTAAATCTATAACCATCTGGGCCCCAGGAACCCATTTCTATAGAGCCATCCCTGCAATCATCTTCAGAATAAGTGCCACAGGTAATATAACCTTGCAACACCTTGCACATTTTAGTAAAATCTAAAGGATTCTGTTACTTTGTGCAGCTGTTCGGGAAATAATCTGTCCACTATATTTTCATTTGATTTTCTATGCTAATACCTAATGGCATTCCCAGAATCTACTTTAATTCTTGCTCTATTAAATTGTGTAGCCATATAATTTCTTAAATTGCATTCCCTCTAGCCTGCATAAAAGGTAACTGACCAGGCTGTTGTATCTGCCACTATCACTTTATGATAAATAACCTATTTGAAAACCCTTTAAAAAAGAACCAAGTTAAACTAAATATTCCTAGGAACCGTGCTTCCTTGTTTGTAGGAGTTATTAAACAAATATAAATTAAATATCTGAATTTTCCCCAAAGCGACATAAATATAAGCATCTATCATCAACAATTTGATGCATGTGACTTGGGTTTACCTTTTAGCTGTTTCTATATTAAAATCTGTAATAGATTTTTCACTAGTAATTAGAGAAATTTTACATTATTTCCTTCTGGGAAAATCCAAGTTATGTTTTAAAATTACAAACATTGATAGTACAACAATAGTTTAATCTTTAACTGAAATAATATCCAAATTCTGCTGAACCTGATGATACAGCAAATAATACTTAAAAAGATACTAGTATTTTGACTGAGTTCCGAAACTGTTATAAGCTTCAGGGGTTCATACTTCTTCCCATTGTTCTCAACTGATTATATTGTTATTATTTTCATTTTTGATGCCTGGAAAGTAAAATAGATTATGTGAGTGAGCATTTATTTATCTAATGCCATTTCAAATTGTCTTGGTAAATAAATGCTCAAAGCCAGAAGCACTACGCATTTGTGCAAGAGCCATGGTAAAGCATTACAAAAACATATGTATTCCAGATTGTAAATGTTGTCTGTATTGCAGACAACTAAAGCAATCTTAGAAATGTTCATTGCTGATATAAAAGATAGAAAAAACTACAAAACATTTCATTTTCAGGGCCAAACTGATACCTGCAATTGACAAAAGTTTCAGAAAAAAATAACAAATATACTACAAGTAGACTACTAAGAGGAAAGAAAAGGAACTAACATATACTTAACACTCACTAAATGTGCGAAGTGATGTTTTCCTCTTTCCAACCTATTACTGAACACATACTGTATGCTAAACTCTTTCATTCATGAAAGGTCATTTTAACTTGCTCTGTAATTCTTCAAAATTAGTATTATTAATCTTGGCTTATAGATGAGAAAACCAAAGCTCATGGAAGTCACTCAGATACTAAATGGTGGACCCATAATTTGAACAAAGTGTAATACCACGGACTATATATTTTCTATCACCACAAATGAATTCTGAGATGGCCTCTCTATACATAGCCCACATATTTGGCTCAATTTAATATGAAGGTTTTTTTTATTTAGTTGGGCTTTTAATTTTCTCTAATTCCATTCAGATAAAATTCTTTGCCAGTGAGAACACCAATGTGGGATGTGATAAGGTCAAGCTTCAAATTTCGTAAGGATCTATAAAACCAAATTTACAGAGGAGAAATTCCAATGACAGTTGAAGTCAAATACCTTTTTGGCAGACGTATCAGGATATACATATGTTCTAAATAAAGATGATTGATAAATATTTCCCATAGTATCTTCTTATATAGAGTAAATACTAATGGAAATGCTTAGCAATCCTATTCACACTGAAAAATTCCAAAAGCATGCTCAACACTAGCAAAAGAATTCAAACATGACAAAAGAGCGAGCAAGTTGGAAAAGATACCTAGCAAGAACTCAGTGACTATAAAAAGCAGATCATTTTTAATATGCCACTCTAAACAATGCCTTCTATTGTAAGATACAGAGGGATTTTGAAATTTTCCAGACTGATGAAAACTTAGCAGTCTTCCATTTTAATTTTTTTAAAGTTCTAATCCCTCACCGTCAATTTTTCTGCTGAAAAATCTATACTTTTATCTATCTTCCCACTCAATTACATACCTATGCAGAGAACATAGTCTTTTTTTGTTTTGAGAATACAGTCTTTACCTTTCCTCTCAATTACATATCTATGTAGAGAATATAGTCTTTATTTTACTGGACCTCAGGAAGAGTGAATTGAATTAATCATATTCCTCAAAGAACATACTTCTTAAATCTGAAACTTCTTTCATTAATCAAGAAGATGCAATTATAAAGTGTCAAGGACACTGGAACTCTGGTTGTGGCAGTCAAAGAGAAGATCATGAAACTGATTTCTCATTCTATCCCCCTCCCCGGGGAAGGAAGGGAGTAAGGCAGGAGATGCGAGAGAAAGGACACTGCAACATCAAATTCTCCCTGCCAACAAGAATCTTACTTGAAGACTGCCTTCTCCAAACCAGGGCAACTAGTGAGAATATTTTAGGATGGGCCCCTCCCTCTGACTGCTGCCACTGTTTCCACCTTTAGTTCTGATTCTAATGTGGGTTTGGGTATGCATGTGAGAGTATGAGAACCAAAAAGAAGACAGGCCAGGAAACAAAGATACGGAGAAAGAACTAGATAGCAAGAATGTTTTTGTTGTCATGACAATTCATGTATCATAAGCTTCAATGACAGTCAAGAAACGTAACATAACTAAGTAATACAAAATAGAACCTAAACAGATCCTTCCAAAGATTACTAGTGATAAAAGGTAAGTGTGTTTATTCACAGGAGAGGGATAAAGGCTTTACAACATGAAATCCAATTGTCAAAACTGATTTTTAGTGTGTTTACAACTATAGTATCCCACCATTATAGAAGGCAAATTCAGGGGAGAGTTTACATAATCAAGCCTTGCTGTGCTATTCTATTTCAGTTTCATTTGTGTTTCTTCCTTGTTGTCATTCTTTAGGCATATTAAGACAGAAAAAACACAGCATGAACAATGCAAAAAATAAATATCAACCCAGATAGAAAGAATAAATGGTACTAATAAAAAGAACGTTCAGAATGAATATATTTATAGAGTATAGAAAAGTACTAAATACAGTACCTACATTAGGAGGGGTCAAATCTGCATTTCACGAAGCAAAACAGGAAAGTATTATAAATTATGAGACAGATAACAATAGCCCACACACAACAAGACAAGTAATGAATATTTAAAATTTTTTCATGTACATTAAAAACATTAAAAAGAGAACAATACTGGAGTCCAACTGTAGCTTTCAAAGGAGAACAAAAGCTACAAAATGATTATTTTTTCCAATAGATAATTCATTGTCCATATTGGTGGTGGAGTTATGTTATGTGGCCATTTAAGAGACTACTTTAAATGTATGATAGTTTTCACTAAACTCTGATGGAGAAATGACAGACAAGTAAAGATTTACCCCAGCATTCTCTTTTAACAAAACCAACAACCACTTTCCTTAATACGAGCTTTTTAATGGATGCACATGCCTACACACAGTAAACTGCATCTCCCACCACAATCCCCTACCTCTGACAGTGAAGTAGGTCAATACCACAAGATACATAGAGTGAAGCAATTAAAGGCAGAAAGAACATACCTTCCAATAAATTCATATCGATGTCATTATCAGGCTTGTGTAGGCACGGGTATGTGTTAAACAGATTAGCTACAAAAGCTAAATTAAGTTTAGGATTGCCTGAAACCACATCTGCAGGAGTAACAAACTGTTTGCAGCCCAGTTTATCTGCTTCTTGAAGCATGAATCCAGCACGCTTCAGGTCATTTTTCTCCTAAACAACAAAATAAAACAAAAATGGTCAACATTAAACTTTTTTTTTTTTAAGATTTTATTTATTTATTTGAGAGAGAGAGAATGAGAGAGAGAGAGAGCATGAGGGGGGAGGGTCAGAGGGAGAAGCAGACTTCCCGCTGAGCAAGGAGCCCGATGCGGGACTCAATCCCAGGACTCCAGGATCATGACCTGAGCTGAAGGCAGTCGCTTAACCAACCGAGCTGCCCAGGCGCCCAACATGACTTTTGATTGGCATAATTTTTTTATTGATACACATATTTAAAACTAATCACTTTTCTAGAAATATATTAAATGATAGATCAAAATAAACTCTCAAATTTTGTATCAGTCAGCTCCTACTGGTCAAATTATAGATAATTTGGTCAAGATCATGTATCAGAGTATCTTTTGGCTAAGAGGCTTAGTTATCTCACCCATTCTACTCTGAATAATATTTCCAGTAGACTCTTTTCTCAATGAAAAACAAGTTGGGATACAAATAAAAAATTATTAAAATCAGAACAACAGCACTTTTCACAAGTGCGAAATCCTAGAAACAAACCAAATGCTTGTCAAAAGGAAAGGAGACAAACTGTGTCATATTTACACAGTAACATTGAACAATGTGAGTGACTCTTAGCAATATATGTTCAAAATAAGCATTTAAGTACAAGGTAATAAGCTTTATGTGAAGTTAAAAAGTAAAATGAAAAATTTAATTTTGTAAGGGATATATTTGGTTGAAAGAAAACTATATAAAAAGAGAAGCAAAAGAACAATGAGCGTTAAGACTGAAGATGGTGATTATCACATTAAGGTGAGGCAGAAAGATGGAATAGGGAAGAGAGCTAAACATAAATTACTATCAAGGTCTTAGCTTTCTTGTTGGATTGACGGTTCATACGGACTTGTTAAAATTTTAAAACAACTACAAACAAAAATAAATAAGAAGAGGGACATGCATGGACCCATGATGAGAGTATATCATGACCAAGAATTATGACTTATCTCATTTTGTGCATCAGTTACAAAAAAGTAAAAATGTAAATGAAATCAGAGAAAGCAATAGGTTTAACGCTATTAAACAATAAAAAGTTCCTAACGTAGACATGAGCAAATAATAGTATGTGGACCTTATTCAGATCTTAATTCAAATAAACTACAGAAAGAAAATCTGACATTTAAGACGCAATTGGAAATGCCAATGTTGACTAAATATTTTGATGATATTATAGAGCATTGCTAATTTTTTTAGATCTGATAAGGTATTACGGTTATATTTTTAAAGTTTATCTTCTAGAAATACATATTGAAATACTTTTCGATGAAATGTTATGATGTCTAGGATTTGCTTCAAAATAACATGGGGGAGGAAGTACAGGTGATAAATGAATAAAGACTAATCATGAGTTGATAGTTGTTGAACCTGGGGGATGAGCACAGGGTAGCTCATTATACTGAGTTTGTTCATTCTTTTAGTATGTTTGAAATTTTCTGTACGTTCAAGTTCTTAATTTTTTGACTCAAACTGATTTGCTAATTTTGCAGTTCTGCAATACTTTCTCAAATGTTTCATTGTAAGAATGTAAAATATAATTCATTTGTAATGTCTCAATTTGCCTTTAAAACCATTACGGATGTTGCACTTTAAGTACTTAATAGATTTTCATACAAACTATATCTGATCAGATTTTAACGTTTAGACAGAACTATCCGCAGTATTTACAACTTATGCTAAAAAACGGGCTTCCTAGGAAATGCATTAGCTAGGCCAGGATCTGCGTCAGTCCTTCCTACACCATAAACACTAGGAATTGCCATCTTTTATTTTGTATATTTCTGAATGTAAGTTGGAAGAACTGATCATCAGTTGCTTAGCAATGGTCTGTTACTCCCTTTCCTAGTATACAGTGAGAGTCACCAAAGCCCCCTTGTGAGTTCCAGTTATACCGCACCAGGAAGAAGTGGATGGAGGGTTGATTCCACACATACTCAACATTAGAATTCTGTAATTCCCTTTCTTCAGTTATGACAGCCAGATGGCTTAGTATGGAGCTCTGAAGCCTAGGGCATGAAAAACTTCTGAAGAACAAAGGGCCCAGGTTTAATGAAGAGCTGAGGACTCCATCAGGGAATGCTGCCTGTAGAGAACTGCACTCTAAATTTGACTGTACTCACTAGTCAAATTCACAGAAATAGAAAGTACAACAGCGGTTACCAGGGGCTTGGGGGAGAAGGGAATAGGGCGTTATTGTCTAATGGGTATAGACTTCACTTTGGGATGATGAAAAGTTCTGGAGATGGATAGTGGTGATGGTTGCACTCACTGCAAATGTACTTAATGCCAAAGAACCATACACTTAAACATGGTTAAAATGGTAAATTTTGTCAATGTATATTTTACTGAAACATAAAAACCTTTAATTAAAAACTGTACTTACATTAAATCCTGAAAGGTCAATGGTAATGGCAGGTTCATCACCCCGGTCACCTTTTGGTGCAATCTGATTAAGCAGATGAAAATAGGCTCTTGAATCCTTTAAGGAAAGACATGAAATAGAATTTTTTTGAGTGAATAAAATCATCATTTGATTTAGGAAAATAGTACTCAAACTGAAGAAATTGTCCTCATCTTAAAGAACGGAATAACTTAGTAACTTTACTTGTTACAGGCTCTGAATGCACTATGCTGGTTTCACACCTCACAGCTTCTAGCGACACTGTTCCCTATACCTAGAATACCTTTCCTCACCTTTTCATTTATTTACACCCCCAAGCATCAGTTAAGATTAGGGTCAAGTATTATCTTCTGGAAGTCTTCCCCCCTTTAACGCGGACTGGCCTTGTGACTTGCTCTGAACCACAGAATGCAATGAAAGTGATGTACTGGGGCTTCCAGGCCCAAGCTGTAAGAGCTTTTGCTTCCTCCCTCTTGCAGTTAGCCTCCACGGAGGAAGTCCAACTATTTGAGACTATCACGCTGTGAGGAAGCACAAGCTAGCCTTATGGAAAGGCCTCATGGAGACGCTGTGAGGCACTAGACAAGTGAGTGGTGCCCTTGTGCACCCCCCAGGCTAGCCCAACTGACAGCTGCATACAAATGAGTTTGATCCCAAACAAAAGCATCTGAAGCAGAACTACTTAACCAAGCCGCATTAACCCAAAGAATCATGAGAAGCGATAGGGTTATTTTAAGCTATTAAGTTCTGAGTGGCTTGTTAATAGCAGTATGTAACAAATATCCATCCACTAAATGTCTATCTCCCTGTGTAACTGGTGAGCTTCTCAAGAGCTAAATCTTTGCAACCCTATGCCTGGCATAATACCCCACAGGAAGGATTTAATAAAAATCTGATGAACTGAATTTTAAAATAAGAGAGCTCCCCAAAATAAATTTTTAAATGAGCATATAATAGATGAAAGCAGAGAAATACAATGTCACTTCAAAGAAAGATTGTCATCTAAGCCCATTATGACAAGAACATAATCTGACTGAAGGTGTTAATATATCTAGAGATAAAATACGAATAAATGCCAATACTGATTAGTCTGGTGGGGGAAAAAAGCATAGAGAAGGGGTCACAGGGACCCAATCTGGCACTGCATGTCTAGGGAGTGACCATGGGAGAACTGTTAGGCACACTGAATGTTACAGTTTCATTGATAAGCTCTCCCGATAGGGAGAGAAGCATTTCAAGCTATTTTGGTTGAGAAACATACCTGAAGAATTCTTTTTGTCTACTGATTCCCTGTGCCCTCGGATATTTGGTCTCCTATTAGCTGGTTATTGGCAAAGTGGGAGTAAGAGTGTTGAACTGGTCAGGCCCACAAGGACCGCTAGTCCAGTGAACAGATGAAGTCTCAGTCCAAATTAATAGACTGACATCCTCATTATGAGTCTCTCTGTGGCATATAAAATGGGAAAGAATGCTTTAATCTGCTAGGGCTAGCATCTCCTTCTCACAGCCAGTTGTAGTTCTTCTTAAATACCAATAAACCAGTTTTTCTTTATTGCAAAAGAAAATTTTGTCCTTTTTATATTTTTAAGTCCTTATTTAAATTCCAGTTAGCTAATATACAATGTAATAGTAGTTTCAGATGTCCAATACAGTGATTCAACACTTCCATACAACACCTGGTGCTCATCACAAATGCACTCCTTAATCCCCATCACCTATTTCACCCATTCCCCTATCCACTTCCCTTCTGGTAACCATCAGTTTAAACCAGTTCTTTTTTAAATAAAAGGATTTTGCAATTATAACTGGGAGATCCACCTCAGACAGAAAAATGCAAAATTTCATTTTCTACACTGTGTCCTTATGAATTAAACTTCAATTCGAAATTAATTCTGAACACTTTTTGTTTTTTTGCATTCTACATCCTTATTTTATATCACAGTTATGAACATTAAGATATAAACCTTAATGTCTTGGCTGAAGTTTTTGATGGTGCGCCATCCTGCATTGGTCAGGTGGTAGTTCACCCATCGCAGCAGTAATTCCTCTGGAGAAAGTTTCATCAGCTCTTCTAGATCCTCACCTTCATTTAGCAATGCAATTAGAGCTGAAAAGAAAGCAATGAAATATAAATTCTTCCCACAGTAAGTACACGTCAATGAAAAGTAAATATTTTTGATGATCTTACCGTCATTCCTGGAAATCTCAATATCAGCCAAAAGACCAACTTTGATGATCTGCCAGAGAAGTCCCAAGACCAAGTGAGGTTTTCCTTCTTTAAGATCCTGTGCACCAATGTTGACCACTGTGCAACCGATGGCTGAGGCAGAATTCAGGGCTAGGTTTAAGTTTTCCTGAATTGCCACAAAGAAAATTACGTGTGAGAAAGTACTTTCCAAAGTCTTACTGACAAGTTGTGAAGGCAAATAAAAAGCAAAAGATTGTGAAAATTCAGATTTGGAACATAAGTAATATCTATACAAGCAAAACACTACTATTCAAAAAAAAATCCCACGGTTTTAACCAGCACTTTACTACTTGATCTCTTTCCCTTGCTTTCATAGTTACTATGTCATTTTCATCCCTTCGTATTTCTGTTCTTTCATACATCATGATACTACATAAACCCATCATCATGAGGTAAAAAACTATGTTATCAAACTTTACAATCTTTTACAAATGAATGAGGCTTCTTTTGGATAAAGTTTCATGGGAAACTGGTAGTATTCTAGTCGATCTATTCCCAGAGCTTTAAAATGACTAAAAAAAAAAAAAAAGACAGATTTAATATCCCCAGTAACACTTTGCTCCTTCCCAGAGATCTTTTTTTAGTCTACATTAGTATGCTCTTTCAAGCCTCCTAAAGATCTAGACTATTACCCCCTACTCATATTGGAAGAATGTCATCTCTAAAAATAAAACTGTAAAAGACTTATTAGCCCCTCAGGCCTATCCTGTAGTTATTGCAAAATAGCTATAGAATTTTTTTCTTTCTTTAATGCACTGCATACAAATGTTAAAAGTAAAACCAGACAATAAATTTGTACAACACTGAGAAATGCTGTATTTCAGAGCCAGTGTCATAAAAAATTATGCGACACATGTATCCTAAAAATAAGATGTATGAATATTTTCAACAATCATAGATATTAAACAAAGCATCCTGACACAAGATGTGAAAGAAAATAAACTTCTGGCAGTTGCAATCAGAAATGAGCTTCTTCAAGAACGGTAGTTTCTGCTAGGAATATGCACTATTATTGCTTACTGGAAAGTGGGAGACAAGAAAGCCATGTTAGTCAACATCCAATTCACACTCCTCAATGAGGATACAGGAAATAGGAGTACCCCTTGGATACTCCAAGACTAACCATGTACCACTGTCCTAAGGTTGTAGCTTCCCTATAAAAGAGGCTTAACAACTTCAGCCAAATCAAGGATTGTATTTGCCAAGAGAAATGAGGGAAATAGCTTAGCATTAGCTCACTTTTTTTTTTTTTTTTTTGGTGTAAAATTCTTTCCTTATATATATATTTTTTAATTTATTTATTTATTTTATTCTTATGTTAATCCCCATACATTACATCATTAGTTCTAGATGAAGTGTTCCATGATTCATTGTTCGTGCACAACACCCAGTGCTCCATAGCATTAGCTCACTTTTAATAGCTGCAGCTCTGGCGAGTATATGCCCTAGTTGCTATTACTACCACCACTCAAGAGTGGCAGTACACAGTGATTATAAGGTGGGCCCTAGAGCTAGACCACTGGGATCATATCCTGGTTCTGCCACCGGGTAACCTCTCAGTGCCTCGGTCTTCTCATCTGTAAAATCGTAGTATCTACCTTTTTTTAAGGGTGCCGGGAAGAGTCAAAGAGATAACTCATGCAGTTTGTTTAGAATAGCGGTCGGTACCCAGTAAGTACTTAGTAGCTGTTGATATCCAGCACTGCTCTAGAGATTTTGAGGGGAAAAGTGTGGTGACTATAAATTCTTGGACTTTAACAAGACCTGAATGGGGAAGCTGACTACAGAACAATATATATCAAAAAAGAATAGCTCAAATTCTGTGAAATAGTAAAACATGGAGTAAAACTATATAGTACTCTTATTTCAACCAAGAACAACAGCATCAAGCAAACATTCATTAATAAAAGCAACTCGGGCGCCTGGGTGGCTCAGTTGGTTGGGCGACTGCCTTCGGCTCAGGTCATGATCCTGGAGTCCCGGGATCGAGTCCCGCATCGGGCTCCCTGCTCGGC